TCCACCCACCCACCCGTCTGTCTGCCTACCTGCCTATCTATCTATCTATCTATCTATCTATCTATCTATCTATCTATCTATCTATCTATCTAATCATCTAGAATATTTGTATGTGTGTGCACATGTGAGTGCCACAGGATACTTATAGAAGTTAGAAGACAATGAGTGGCGGTGGTGCACGCCTTTAATCCCAGTACTTGAGAGGCAGAAGCAGGCAGATCTCTGTGAGTTCGAGGCCAGCCTCGTCTACAGAGTGAGTTCCAGAACAGCCAAAGCTGGTATAGGAAGTTAGGAAACTTGAGGGAGTCGGCTTCTCCTTCCACTGTGTGTGTCCTAGTGACCTAACTCAGGCCATCAGGCTGGGGTAACAGTGTTTTACCAGTCCAACCATTTTGCCAGCTCCCAAATCATACTTTTAATAATCCCTTATAATGCAGCTTGTAGGTTTATTGGTGGAACATTTTTTTTTATTAAATTTTTTTCATACAGAATATTTTTGTTATATTTCCCCCAATTCCTCCCAGATCTTCCCCACCCCCTTGCCTACCCAATTTTATGTACTCTCTCTTTCAAAATAAAACAAAAGCAAAAGCCAAAAAATTTCTTACACACAAAAAAACCCCCCACAAAAATGAAAATCAAAACAAACAAGAAAAAGACCAATAAGACAAAAAGTACCAAAACAAAGCAAAAGAAAACAAATGTCCATAAAAAATGGTGGGGTTTGTTTTGTGCTTCTGGACATGGGGCCTGCGCCAGAGTGTGGTTAATATACCCATGAACCTCTGTTGGAGAAAACTGATCTTCCCTTTGCCAGTGACTGTCAACTTCAGATAGCTTCTTAGTTAGGGGTGAGACGCCATGTTCAGCTTCCTCTCTCAGTACTGGGACCCTGTCTGGTTTGAACCTGTGCAGATCTTGGGCGTGTGCCACAGTCTCTCCCCTCTGTGAGTTCCCATGGGCATCGGTTTTGTTGTCTGGAAGACACTGCTTCCCTGGAGTCACCGTCTCCTCTGGCTCCTGTACTCCTTCTGTCTCCTCTTCCTCACAGGACCCTAAGCTCTGAGGGGGGCGTTTTGATGAAGGTATCAAAGGAAGAACTAGGTAGTCCAAAGTTTCTTATACTCTTCACATTGTCCAGTTGTGAGTCTCTGGATTAGTGTCCATCTCCTGCACGAAGAAGGTTTTCTGATGTGGCTGGAGCGAGGCACTGATCTACAGCTAGAGCGGAATGTTGTTAGGAGTCACAAAAGACGACTTTAGTAGAGTAATAGTTAGGTTTTCCCTAGGCCCGTGACCTACCTGTCTGGTGCTGGGTTCTTGGCGACTTCGGCAGTGTCAGAGTTCCATCCAGAGGACTGGCCTGAAATCCAGTACAAACGTGGTTGGTTATTCCCACAACATTTGCCTCACTATTGCACCGGTATGCATTTCAGGCAGGAGTTATAGTTGGGTGTTATTGATGACT